CTCATCAAATTAATGTTCTCTTCCAAATAAAAATGAACATCATCCTGCGTTTGGGTCCATGTCTTACGTAGGAGGATATTAACTTGATCAAGCAAAAATGTTCATTCTGTGTTAGCCGTGGAGGGTTTACAGGCTGGGTGTCTTCAAATCTAAAGATAGGCTCACACATATTGATGAATAGCAGGCAGGTCTTAACATTGACAAAAAAAGGTGGGAAATGCCTCAACTCATGCATTTTGAATTTTAATGAAAAATTCAAACGTGGGCTCCTTTTTGTGAAACATCACCTCTTATTTAGGACATGCAGCAAGTGATTCTGGTTCCAAAAACACAAATGAGCAAGTTTCTACACGATGCAAACGTTGCATGACATTGTTTAAGACAGATGAGAGCAACGAGTCATGAGAAAATGTAAATATTTTTATCAGACTCAAATGCATGACTAAGCATGGGAAACTCTGGAAAGTAACTTAGCAGGCTAATAAACAAATCAGATGAATTAATGGTGTCACACACAATGCATTCATGACTTCAGCTGCTGTAGGAACCAATCAGCGTCCGAGCACCAATAACAGGAAACCATGCAACACAACAAGCCCTCAGCTCTGTTTGAACCATCCATCCATTGTCTTGAGCTTATCTGGAGTCGGGTAGCGGAGGCTGCAGCCAAAGCAGAGACGCCCAGACTTCCCTCTCCCACAGCCACTTGAGCCAGCTCCTCCGGGGGAATCCCAAGGCGTTCCCTGGCCAGCTGAGAGACATGGTCCATCAAGCGTGTCCTGGGTCTTCCTTTAGGTCTCTTCCCGGTTGGACGTTCCCAGAAAACCTCACCAGGGAGGTGTCCAGGAGACATCCTAACTAGCCAACCAAAATTGACTCTGAACCAAGAAGTCAAAACTAAAATCATCCCAAACCAACAGAAAACCTAAGTTACAGGTTTGCTGGTGAATCCTTAAACACACCGAGCTTCTCTATCTTCCTCATATTTACAGGTGGGACTGTTGTGTTCCTGGACCAGACTCTGAGGATGTGGAGCTGAAAGTCCATTAGGAACAAAGCAGAAAGGTGAAAGTGGTACAAATCAGTAAGACACCTGAAGACATTGTTTTGTTGGATGTCTAGTAAAGTTATTTACAGCTGATTGTGAAACTAATGCTTAAAAAGTATAAGATTTGTTTACTGGAGAGGATTTATTTCTCAAATCTTGACCAAAACCTTATAGATATTTAAACTGCAGATGTTTGGATGTTCTGCGGTGCCAAAAATCCCAAACGAGCCATTGCACTTTCCTTGGTCCTCCATTTTTAATGCTCTCACGTGTTTAGCAACAGAACACCACTGGTGTGAGAGGTTCTCCGCCCAATAACATCAGAGAAGGAGAAACGGCAGGCTGCTACCACTTCAACTTTAGGACAAACTACCAGTCCTAAAAAGAAAAACACCATTTGAAGTCACGGACAACAAAAGATGCTTAGACCTAGAAAACGGTGACCGGTGTTTAGCACTAACTCGTTTCCTCTTGAAATGCAGGCCTACTGTTCCAGCAGAAGCATCTAAGGGCGGTACTGGTAACAGAAAGAAAAACCAGAACATCTCTAATCATAAAACTCATAACACGGCTGACTTCATTTGAGTGAATCAAATAATCCTTTTAAAAATGTGAACCAAAGACAGATTTGTTGAATGTTGCATGTGACAAGATAATATTTGAAAAAAGAAAAAAGGATTGACTTGACAGCTCATCGTGTGTGTCTTATTTATGGCAACAACCCTGCTGTAAAGAAGATTATTCACTTTGTTCTTTGTGTAATTAATCTTATACATTAAGCAGAGTGCCAATGCACATCATCTCTGATTAGTGACAATAAGCCCCTCATAATGATGCTCAACTGTAGCTCTCAGAGTTTACAAATGACCAGGATGTTCAACACAGAGCGTGCATCAGAAGCAGCACCCGAGGGCTGAAAGGATCTGTTTGAGTTGGAGGCTTTAGAGAACAGGTTCGTGTTGAGATAGTGATGAATAGATCAGCTGTTGTTCTGGAGATGATCGGACTGTGGTCAACAGATGGACCTCAGGAGAAGAAGCAGAGGAGGTGATCCAGAATGCGCACACGCACTCGCGAGTCAGTGACGAAGAACCGCAGATGAACGGATATCGAAGATGCTCCAGCAAACTGAGAAAGCTGTTGCCTGCCCGTCTCTCCTCGTCTGCTGCTTTCACTCCGCTGCTGGATGCCTGCGAGTTTCAGCGCTGACGTATACGCTCGCTTTCGGCGTCGCGTGAAAGGAGAAGGAAGGGAAGCCGACGAGGAAAATAATTTATGGTGCCCTGTCCCTATAATGTCACAGTAACTCAGGGCGGTGTGGGAAATGAGTCACAAAAGACAGCAGGAGTGACAGTAAACATATCCTGGATGATTTTCTGGGTATGAGGGGGACATTATTAGGTCAGGAAGAGAATACAGTACGAGGAAAGTCATTTCGGTGAAGAGGTTCAGCGTAGCCCTGAAGAAGCCTGTTAATCACCTGCTGATTGAAATCAGGAGTTGAAGCAGAGTTAAACTAAAATGTGCTGCATACCAGCTCCCAAGGCCTGGAACTGAACACCCCTGTCAGAAGCTAATGCAGGAGATCGGTGTAGAAGATTATTTTCATGTTCAGGCTGTATGAAAAACTCAGAGTGAACAAATATAATCAGAAATACTCATTAGAAAAATGTTTTTTAGTCATCCACACATTTAAGCTGGAATCTGAATGAGCTGTTTTCTTATTTTCTATTAAAAAGTTATTAATGAGAGAAAATACAACTTCTTGTCCTGAAGTGTTGGAGCATTAGAGAACTGAACTGTGGATCACCTTCCAGAAGATGAAGCCAAGAACATTTTGCAGTAACTGTTGATTTCTGAACAGAAGCTGTGGTGCTGCTCATTCTCTCTGACTGCAGCTCCAGCCGATGGCCCCAAACCCGAACCGTGACCTGAACTCTCACTCTGATAACCAAAACCAAACACAAAGCGTTAATTGGTGGCTGTGTTTTTATGTTTGGAGCACAGCTTCAAACAGGCAGCTCAGCTCACACAGGGCCAGCAAAGGTCTCCTCTGCTAGCTTACACAGTGTTCTGGAGGAAATGATGAGAAGCCCGTGTCACTTCTCAAAGATGTTGTTAGAGGAGAATTTGTCCAGGAACATTATGTAAAGTTTTTTTAAGCTATGAGAAAAGATGAAGGAGGAATAAATACTAATTTTCTGATTTATTCCATAATTATTAAAGGTCAAAGTATTTTTACCCAGTCAGGAAACAGACCGGTTTGATTAATACTCATTTTGAATTTGGAGGTAAAAGGTGCTTCTGTCAAATGCCATCACAAAACAAGATAAACTAATCAATCTCAGTATTCATAAAATGGAATTAAATCCACGTTTTTGCATTTTCTTTGTTTAAAGTTGGCCTTTATAGCCCCTAAATGATCACAGCTGCACTCGTACTGCTGCTCGGATTTACTCAAAGGGAAAAAAGACTTACTGTTGAGTTTATCTCTGAATAAAATTAACAAATGAGCCCAAACATAAACACGTGTGTTTTTAACACCTTGGTAGATGCTTTAGTCCCCATCCAAGATGTAAACTGTAAAAATAAAAAAGACAAAGAGAATCTTTAATATCTGCTAGGACATTAATATTATAATAATTTGACTTGTTGCCTTGGATTAATTGTTTTTTACTGTGAACACATTTTCTTATTTTTTTGCAAATAATTACAGAATTTAATGAAATTACTCATGTAATGCTGATGTAAAAATAAACAAAACATTAGTGTGAACTTTTGTGAGTTAGCATAAAACAGCAGAAAAACTTTGTAATTGCCCCCACTAAGGCTACTCATCTCTATTTATCCAAACAAAGGCTGTTCAAAGGTAAGAACTACAAAATCAGCTCTCATTGTACGAGAATTCCTACATTTTAATGTGAGAACAGCAGTACCAGGACCTGTTTCTGCTTGACGCAGTCATTGCAGCCTTTTACAGTGAACAGAAGATCTGCACCACTATTTTCAGAATTGGTGAAAGTCAATCAGCTGGAGGTAGGGAGAGTCATATTTGTCTGATTTTGTTGTGACATTATTTCATTTTTGGAGACAAGACTGAAGTTTTAGATACCATTTGTAGTAAAGCTGAGTTTCTAGTAAAACTAAGCTTCGTTATCTCAAATAAAATCTTTCTCAATCACTAAAATCCATCTGAGACGATGTGGATGTTTCAGATTTACAGCTGAGGCTCTGAACCTGCAACAAACAGACATGAACCATATAGAAAAGGCTTGAACTATATGGATAGGTCTGTTTTATAACATATAGGTGGAGACATTATTTTTCTTCCTTTTCAAAGGCTCAGAAGAAACAGAAGCATGGCCTCCCTATGGATGTATTCTTTTAAATGTTTCAGCCCATTGAGGCAAGCATCTCAAATCAGAGCCAGAAAGCAGCAGAACATTGAGCTCCAATTAATGTGTTCACTAACAGATGATCAAGTGAGGCGTCACCGAGCTGCGTGACCCACCAGGGAGTCGAGGCTCATTTGAAAATCATAAAATGCAAACATGATGTGATCCAGATTCCCACAAGCAACCTGTTAAAGGAGCACTGAAGTGTGTGTGTGTGTGTGTGCGTGTGTGTGTGTAGTCATAAGGAAGGAGGGGGAACATCACTGAAGAATGGATTCATTGTACAGTGAGGACCCCCTGAGCCCCACAACATCAGCCTTGTTCTGCCTCCTTTCAGAAAAGATGATTAATCAGCCGAGTTTGATCAGAAAAGCCTTCTCGTGGGTCTGTTAAGGGTTTGGATCTGTTTCGAGATGATAAATACATAAATAAAAGCCAGGATGTGATTAAAACACCAAACAAACCCTGAAGAAGCTCAGAGGGTTATTGCAGCTTCTCTCTCAGACTCCCACACCAGCCCTGAAGCCCCAAACAGTGAGAGAGAATAAAAGTCCTACCTTTGGATGTTTGGATCAAGTGATTCTGAAGTGGAGCGGAAGTTCTGCTGTCGGTGGTTCTGTCTTGGTTCCTTTTTCCTTCCTGCGTCTTTGAGTCAGCTCTGGACTCCGCTGCTGTCTGGACGATGCTCACCAAACCCCGGAAACCACGCAGGAAGCAGATGTTTATAATAATCATAAACGGAGCAGAGGGCTGGGGTGAGAAGAGTAAAAGCTGTGTAAATAGATAGAAGTGTTGTGGGGGAGAAGGGGGGGATAGTCAGATGTCCAGATTCCCGATCAGCTCTGGCGCTGTCCAACAGCGCGTGGTGCTGAATGAGGCTTGGGTGGGCTGCGGAGATCTCCTACTTTTCTCCCTCTCCTCCTTTGGTTCCACTGCTCAGATCTTCCTCGTACTTGCGCACAAATAGGAACCCCGTCCCTCCTGCGTTCTTCTTGAGGCGCTACATCCTCACCAGAGGCAGAGCGCTGGCACGACTGGTGGCCAGTAAGAGGCTGCGTAAAAGCTTAAAGTTGAACTCATTCGGATCTCGAAGCAGATGGAGTTGAATGAATTCTCATACGGATAAGATGATACCGGAGGACAAGCGTGGCTGTGAAACTGGATTTACGCAAATGGAAAGTCCTCACAAGAGCTCGCAAAGAGCCAGGGGTGCGGATTTGAGCTCCCTCGGCTGCAGAGACGACAGTTGTTGAGATTTAAATTTAAAAATGTGTAAATGCTTCTGCTCCTTCCTCACTGAAACCCCGACAGCTCTGAGGAGTTTTACGCACAGACGCGCTGCCCAGAAGTCATTTCAAGAAACGAGCCTCCGCCTGTCAGCGTTTCAGAGATGTACCTCCTCCTCCTTCCAACAGCAGCATCTTTGTTTACAACTGTTGACTTTAGTCCTGCTGGCTGGGCTTTGGGGTTTGTGTGCAGAGAGAGCTCATCCTCACAGGGTTCCAGATCCACAGCCATTGACTTTTATTCCGAAGGCGCCGACTAGCGCATCTTGAGCTCCACTGCCACCTCCTCTTCCGGAGACTGGAGGGAAAGTTCTGAGCAGAAACTGCAGTGGAAGATTCTGGGCAGACGTGGGAAATTGTTGCATCAAGTCATCTCCATGCCGTGTTTTTCTGCAGTTCAGCAACTGACCCAGGTGATTTCAATCAACAGAGTGAATGAACCTGCATGGTTCGGTTGCTGAGCAGAACTAAATCACGGCATGGAGATGACTTGTTGATACCACAATTCCCATATCTGGCTGTAGGCACGTGCCTCACTCCCGGTTCTGAACTGCTCGCCGTTCAGTGATTATCTGGGATCATCCCTCGGGTAATTCCGACTCGTTCATTGGAATCGCTTTTCTTTTATATGTTTATCGTTACTGCGCTGATTGCACTTATTGACTCATCAGTCCAATCAGTTGAGCCGCTCTCTCCTGGTAATGAACAGAACCAGCTGCTGCAGCTCGAGCTGCGCTGCAGCCCCTCAGGACACTTGCAACCGGAACCAGAGTCCGAGCGTCACAGCAGGAGTTGGTGGGGCTTTAGATCAACTTTCATCAATGCAAATCTAATATTAACCAAATATTTAACCATCATAATTTAATCAAAGTAAGCCAAATCAACTCACTGAAATAATTTAAAAACTTAAATTACAATCCCAGAGTGTTATTGTGGTAAAATAAATAAATAAATAAAAAGCATTCTTCTGTTGTTAAAATTTTCAAAATGTTTCTTTTCATGCAGAAAATCAGAGAAAACAAAATGATCAAATATGCCCTGTTCTGGTCAAAGAAATCCCCCCAAAAGCACGAACAAGTTAAATAAATATTCATTTAGAATAATGTAGAACATTATAAAGTTCTTTAGCACATTTTAGAACCTTAAATAACTAGAATAAATATAAAAATGATGAAACCATAAAGTATTTTTTATTTTAAAAAAACAGATTACTGCATTTTTTTATCAAATATAGAGTATTAGAATATTTTTAAATGTCTTATATTTGAGATTCTGTCCCAGTGTCATCTTCCTCCTCTTCATCATCATCATTGATGGCGAGATTGGCTGGCACAATAACTGTCCTCCATTTTCCATAGAAATCTTAGTTTAAAACTGCTAAATGTATCCAACAGTGTCATTGTTATTATTATTTTTACAGTTAATGTGGAGATTAAAACGATTCTATCTAAACATTTACACAACTTATTTTACTTGTTCAGGGCGTATGTTCAAATATGACAGCTTTGATTGTCAGGCTATCATTTCACCAACTCCATTGAGTTCAACATTTATAAAACAGATAGGTTTATTTAGTCCAACTAGTCAAGTTCGTGATGTGAACTTTTCATTAAGTTTCATTAATGTTCCTGGATAAAGATACATTAAAATAGATGAATTTATATTTAATGCTTTTCATAGTTTAAATTAGCAAAAATGTAAATAGTTAATCAAGATCAGCATAAGATTTCATAGATCAAACAGAAAAAGATTTTATTGTTATTAAGATGACAGTTTGTGACAGCTGTTTGGTGAATAAAGTATTTTTAGATGGTTTGGAGTTTTGATGTCTTTGTAATCAGAAATCCCAGTCAGCCTCCTCCGGGGCTCTTGTCATCCACGTCATGCTTCCACGTTGTTTCTTTATGCATAAGAGCTGAAATCTGTTGTCATGTTTTCTTTGTTTTGTCCATAAATAAAATACTAGAGAAGTTTAAATGTCTTCTCCTCTAGCAGCTACAGTAAGTGTCATAAATGATGGAAGAGCAGACGTTGTGAACTAAACTGGGTGTTGAAGTAAACATTCTGTTTTTGCAAAGGAACAACCCATCAGATAGAGCTAAATCATGCAGCAGTGGTGGTCCTGAGGTCAGAATGTTTTCGTATGTTTGCTGCCAGATCCTTAAAGGAATATAAAACTTAATTATAAATGGTGAAGAACATGTTCTGCCAAATGGCTTGTAAAAGTAACACTGCTGTACTCTAACACTGGTCAGTCAGCACCGATACAAACAAAGGTTCAAGAGTTTGGAGAAAGGAAATTATGTGAGCCGCTTCGTCCAGTCCCACTCCCGTTTTCTTCTCACCTTCTGACTGGAACAATTACAGGCTAAACGCACATTTCCCTGGAAGCCTTCTCACTTTCTGAAATAATGAATGAAAGAATGAGAAGCGGAGCCTGCGAGGCACACCAGTGATTATTAGAGGTTTTATACATGTGGAAATGTAAAGCTAGCATAGCGCTCCACCACCTTAATTATTGAACTGATGAGGGTCATGTCAGGATTAATAAATAATCTTTGTTGTAATAAAAGTCCACTACCATTTTCACCTCAGCCAGTCTCATGAGCTCGGAGGTCCATGAATTATTCTGTTCAATCTTAACTGTAATCCATCTCAGTTGTGTTGGCCTGCAGGACTGGAGTGGCCTTCCTCTGTTTCAGCTATCAATCTGAAAACAAGAGGGTTTTGTCTTCAGAGGGAAAAGACAGCTACTTCTTGTTTTAAAAGACAAAAACAACAAAGTGAACGTCCTTGGTTTAAAGCAGGTTACTGTGCAGGGTCATGCTGCTCACTGTAGGTAGCAGACGAGATGTGCTGTTGTGTTTGAGCCTGGCTTGCAGGGTGCCATTAAAGCTCAGAAAGGGACGCAGACATGCCAATGAAAACTGGCTTTGACCAAAGGTTTTTGCAGCCGGAGCCTGAAGCATCGATACAAGGCAGGATAGATCTGTGCTTTCATGCGGGTGACACCAAGTTCTGACCCAACCATCTGAATGTTGCAGCTGAAATCCAGACTCATCAGACCAGGAAACAAGGTTCTGCTCTGCGTTCAGAGATGCTGTTCTGAAGGTCTTGGTAGGAACCAGTAGTTATTTGCGCTGTCAGGAAGCAGCAGTCTCATCCCGCTCCACTCACACACCTGTCACCTATCATCAACACACCCCTCCTGGCTACAAAAGCATTTTCTACTCACCCTTCAAACACTCAGTCAGACGTTCTCTTGTCTCTTCCCGAGCTTTTTACATCCTCACCCAGTTTTGATTACTTGCGGATTATACTCGACACTCACAGTAACACCCGGGAAGACGTTAAGTCATCCCTTCCTTGTTTCTGGTCCTGCTGAAGCTATTCAGTTCCTGTGGCGAGCTGCTTGTAGCGTCTAGATTCACTTGCCTGTCAGTTTTCACCCAGACTGCCACCTCTGGGTTTAACGACATGCTACAGCCTTTTCCTGTGATCACATGACAATCTCTCAGGTTCTTCACAAGCCCGCCCCGTTCACACTTGTTATGACTCTCATTTGGAGCTTCAGCAGGTCTAGATGGTTATCTGATGATTTTGCTGCCGTGCGATTGGCTGAGTTGTGTTGTCCATCCTAATGTGATCAGGGTTTGAACGCCACAGTAAATGTCCGTCTGTCTGTTTGTCCTCCACACTGTGTCAAGTGGTTGCAGAGGTTACACCAGCAGCTTGGCTGGGACACACCGGATCAGTTCTGGGACACAGGGGCAGCAGAATTCTGGGCACTGGGCCATAGATCTGTCTGGACCTCTGTCCTCCCCATCTACAGCTGTAAATGTTGCTGTAAGAAGCCGACACGGCACTAAAGCTGAGCGTGATAACCCTTCTGCTGTGTGCATGTTTCTGTTTAATTGCATCAGAGCCCTTTTTGAAAACGTTTATTAATTCAATGTGACCTTTTAGCATTTCTGTTTCTATGGAGGTTGATCTACGAAAGCCGTTCAACCTTTACACAGAAAGCTCTCGGCGTGACACCTGATGGCAGGTGAGGTATTGCACCTTGGCTGTCTAACCTTTGAGACCGACAGCAAACAAAGCAGGTGTTCGTAACTTTTTCATTTTCCAACCAAGACAATAATAAACGCGGAGACATGTGACTGAATGTTCCTGGGCTGATGCTGATGTGTTAGCCCTATATTTAGACTTACTCTGGTGTCTGCAGGCGATCTGAAGACCACCCACTTTTAAAACAGCTCCACCGTGACCCTGATAAGTGATTACAGGCAGGGACGTTAATAATTTGTTTTAAAACTTTAGCTGTGTTTAAATAAAGCAGCATGTTGTTATTCTGATGCTCCACTGATGTTTCACCCTTTTTTGCCTCTTTTGGTCATTTTTGTTCCAACCACAAGAAAACATTTGACTGATCTAAGAAGGTGATTTGCTGATTCAGTCCAGTCCTGTTTTAGCCTGTGGAACAGAAGAATCACATTATCACTCAGCACAGTTTGCCGCCACAACCACAACCACAGCCTGAACATGTATAGTTATAGCAGGAGGCCATATATCACCTCTGTAGAGAAATGCCCCTGAGTTCTCCTGGCTCAGGCTTATCTCAGATAGACAGAAATCCAGTGGACACATGCTATGTGGTCACATGAGCCCAAGTTTCTGCTTGCTTCTTGGAAAAACCAACGGTGTGTTCTGGCTTTTATCATCCTAAAGACTTAACATGTGACATTTGTTGCCATCGGTGCCCAAGAGAGTACAAATGTCAGAAAAAAGCAACAAGCATGTATTGGATAAAAGAAAAGGTGACATTACAAAATGTTAAAGATCTAATTGTAAAATAGCTGAAACCTTTAAAGCTGCTATCCAAAGTTTTCCCCTTTCAGGAATGATGCACTGATATAATGTAGGAAATGCGATTTTTTTTTTATTATTTTATTTTATTTTTTTGCTAAGCCCACCCCCTGCCCCGTAGAGCCCAATACAAGCACCGTCAGCACTAACCCATGGTGTCCCTGCAAATAGTCAAAGTCTCATGGATGCTCAGATCATGTCTATATTGTGTCCTTTGGTCCAGGCCACCTCTTTAGGATGGCCAAACTAGGTCTTTGCACAGTGAGGTTAGACTACCGCTTATGTACAGATGTCTCGAGTGTTTAGAGAACTACCCCGGTTGATGCAGACTCTGTAACGTTTCTCGTAGACAAGTAAGTCTTTAAAACCTAAATATTTGAAAACACAACATAACGTAAGCATAATAACTGTAAAATAATGTGTTTCGTCAGCTAGAGGAGCGCATTCATGAACGAGGAGCATTGCTTTTGGCCGTAATTACGGAAATGAAAAATAGGTCATGGTGTGATTCGCTCATCAGCCACTAGATGGTGCCATCAGATAAAAGAAAAAAGAAGAACAGTTTTTTTTTATTCTTTAGCAGCTTGTAATCATTTGAGGCAGTAAGGGTTATGATATGGGTGTTTATTATTATTAAAGATTAATAAGATACAGGGAGCAGAAAGTGACCTGACGTCAGAGAAGAAATCGTTTTCTCATGTTTCCCTTTAAAATGGATTTGCTTCGTTAGCAGAAATCTGCTTTGAAGTTTGGTCCATTTTGATGAGCTAATCGAACAACTGGTCCCCATATAAAATGTGTTGCTGCCATCCTTAAACAACTCTAAAGGCCTAAACTTTACTGTATGCAAACATTAAACCTTCATATAAATATCAAGTTTGTATGACAAGATTTTTCTTTCAGAAATATTGAGATGTTGGATAAACAGGAGGTGAACAGGAGATGATGTTTACATTTGTAAATAACCACTGAGAACCATGGAAGTAATGCAAAACGGCAGTGTATAGGTTTATAGAACAAATCTGTTTGAATCACAGTGAAAATGTTGACAATTTGAGCCATTTAAAAATGGCAGCAACACACTAGCTGTTAGCTTATCAGTCATATATAAACTCAATTTCTCTAAACTGAGGCCATTCTCTAAAATAGGTAGGATAGTAATTACTCATAACTTTTAGACAGAAATTAATTCAGCGTGGAATAACACCGCGTGCGTCGTGTTGTTTTTGTGGTTCTGTAACTCATCACTGCTGCACTACAAAGGAACCAAACCAGATTCACGGTGACAGCAGGACATTTCAATGCTTAAACTCGGCAAACAGATAATGAGAATTAAATATTTTATCCCTCAGGAAACTACACAGCAGTATGAGGTTGCATTAATAAGAGCAGAGCGTGGAGTGGAGCCATCTGAATGACACATTCAGGTAATTTGAATTGTAATGTTGAAATTTGTCAGGCTTCATTCTCAAATGTGTGCAAAGAGACAGTCTCCAACCATTTTTAATGCATTTGAATGGATTTATTCACTGAGCTGCAGCAGAATGAATGAAACAATGATAAATCCTAGCTGGAATTATTACCTGTTGGGTCTGGCCTAATCAGAAACTTAACTAATGATTCTTGAAATGACGAGCAACCTCTCACCTGACAGTAAACCTTCACTCGCAGTGCCTGATGGAAATATTTCTGAAGTGGTAGGCAAGAAATCAAAAATTTGAAATTATTCATAATCCCAAAACATTACAGGCAAGGCAAGACAGCTTTATTTATATAGCACATTTCAAACAGGGCAATTCAATGTGCTTTGCAATTAGCATGAAATGGCAAGATAATAAACGGGAGACCACAAATTAAACATATACACAGATAAAATTATAATTTAGAGCTAAAAAGAAAAGACAGAATTAAGATTGAGCAATTGCAGCGATGCAGCATAAGAAACACTTCATTCAAAGGCTGATGAGTGCATTAGGGTTTTAAGTGTTGATTTAAACAACACTAGGGTTGGGGCAGATCTGAGGTCCACGGGGAGCTTATTCCATATGTGAGCAGCATAGAAGCTTAAAGCATCTTCACCCTGTTTAGTTCTGACCCGAGGTTCTATAGCCGGTTGTTACCTAAGGATCTCAGAGTCTTATTGGGTGTATATGATGAGATCAGACATGTATTTTGGCCCATGCCATTGAGTGATTTATAAACTAGAAGCACTTTGAAATCTATTCTGTGGTTTACTGGTAACCAGTGTAGAGATCCAATAACAGGAGTGATGTGTTCCATTCTCTTAGTTCTTGTTAAGACTCAAGCAGCAGCATTCTGAACAAGCTGCAGTTGCTTCACAGCTTTTTTGGGAAGACCAGTTAGAAGACCGTTGCAGTAGTCCAACCGAGTAGAAATAAAAGTGTGAACAAGTTTTTCTAAGTCTGGTCTGGACGTGAGACCTCTGATTCTTGATATCTGATGTAGGTGATAAAATGCTGGTTTAGTTATAGCCTTAATATATCCAGAGAAGCTCAGGTCGGAGTCAATAATAACACCAAGATTTCTAACCTGGGTCTTTGTTTTTATTCCACTGGAGTCCAGCTGAGCAATGACATCCATCCTAACCTTCTTATTGCCAAAGACAATAACTTCAGTCTTGTCTTACTGAAGGACGTTTGACTGCATCCAGTCGTTCACTTGTTCTAGGCACTGACAGGTGATAGGGCTAGGTAGATCTGGGTGTCATCAGCATAGCTGTGATAGGCAATGGTGTTAAAATGGGCCACTCCACTGAAACTGCTCTGTTAGCAGTGACTGAATCCTTAAAAGAAGCTAGAGCGACTGCCAAATCCTCAGTGCTTATCCTGCTCGACTTATCGGCAGCATTTGACACTGTCAACCATGTCTTCCTTTTGTCCACACTCTCTAGCATGGGCATCACAGAGAAAGCACACGCCTGGTTTGAATCATACCTCACAGGACGATCATTCAGTGTATCTTGGCTTGGACAATCCTCTACCGTGCACCATCTTGCCACAGGAGTCCCCCAGGGCTCTGTACTAGGACCTCTTCTCTTTGCCATATACACCACCTCACTAGGTGAGATCATTCGATCACATGGCTTCTCCTACCACTGCTATGCAGACGACACCCAGCTCTATCTGTCATTTCCACCGGACGACCACACTGTCTCTGCGCGAATATCAAACTGTCTCTCTGACATATCAAAATGGATGAAATCCCACCATCTACAACTCAACCTCTCTAAAACTGAACTACTTGTCATCCCAGCAAAACCATCCATACAGCACAATATCTCATCCCAAGATGACTTTCTATCTCTGGCTCCTTCAAAGGCAGTTCGAAATCTGGGTGTTGTGATTGATGAACACCTGACCTTTAAAGATCATGTTGCCTCTGTTGCCCATTCATGCCGCTTTGCGCTGTATAACATACAAAAGATCAGACCATACCTAACACAACATGCCACCCAGCTCCTGGTGCAATCTACTGTCATATCCCGCCTCGATTACTGCAACGCCCTTCTAACTGGTCTTCCAGCCTGTACTGTGAGACCTCTTCAAATGGTCCAGAACG